CCCCGCCGTGTACAGGCGCAGCACCAGCGCGCCCGGGATCACGTGGCCCGCCAGGTCGGTGGCCAGCAGGCTGGCGACGAACAGCAGGAAGGTGGCGGCCGAGCGGCGGCGCCGCAGGCGGCCCGAGGCCTGCGCCAGCAGCGCCAGCGCCAGCACGTTGGACACGGCGCCCAGCGTCATGGAGAAGATGGGCAGCGCCGGCGACGCGCCCGCCAGGCCCGACGGCGGCCCGGCCGAGGCGTTGGGGGCCCCGGGCCCCGCACACGTGGTCGCCTCTCCCGCCAGGCTCAGGTTGAGGGGCCCGCAAGGGCTCATGTCAGGCGCAGGGCTGGGGAGAGGAGAGGAGGGCGAGGTGAGGCTGCCCAGGGCACAGCGCCTGCCGTCCGTCGGGCTGGGACCAGCCGTGGCCCCTTCTTGGCTCATCAGGACCGGGTTGACCCCATGGCGTTCTTCGGTGGACCCTCTGCCCATGGCAATGCCAAATGACCCTGGCTGCCCGTTCCTGATCGCTCCTCCTCCTCTGCCTCTCGCCTCCACATCTCTTGCTCCCCGCCTCAGTCTGCCCTCACTGCCCCGTTCTCTGTCCACCAGGCTCCCCAGCTCCAGCCCTCCCTGTCTCTGTCGCACCTCTGGGCCTCTCGGACCCACCTCTGACACCCACCTCCCATGTTTACACCGCAGCAAATTTCCTGGCCCCTGGCGCCATCTGCTACCCCCTGACCCATTTCTGATCCCAGGTTCCCACCTGACCCCACTGCCCCATCTCTGCCCATTGCCGTGTCACCTTCAGCCCCATCCTTCATGTTCACAGCCCCACCTCTGCCACCTTGGGCACATGTCTCCCTACCGCACTTGTTTTAGCCCATGGCCACATCTCTGTCCCCACAGCCCTGTCCCTATCCTTGTCCCACACACTCCCATCTCTGAGCTCCATTGCAGTCTCTCACCGGGCCCTACCCCTGACCACAGCTGCCTCATCCAGGGTCCCCATAGTTCCACTCCCGCCAGCTCCGCATCCCTGCCCCGAAGCCTCAAGGCCGACCCAAGACCACCCACCCTTGATGCCCTGGTGGTGAGGGCTGAGAAGGCAGAACTCTGCTGGGTCAGATGGTTAGGAAGGATGGGCAGATGGTAAGACTGGCAGGGACAGACGGATGGCATTAAGAGGGAAAACAGGACAGACTGAGGTAGCCACGGCCCCATCTTTCTGTGCCCTTCTTCCCCACTGGAGACCCTCGCCCCAGCCTTCTTACCCGGCGCTGCCTGGGACCCGGGGTCCCCATCGCCTGCCGCTGGACCCCTGCTGCCCGCTGCGCCCACGCCTGCTGCGCCCGAGCTCTCCGGCAGGCCGCGCCCTCCCTCCCTCCCTCCCGGGGCGGCTCCTCTGCTCCCAGCCTCCTCCGCCCGCTCCGGCCTCCAGGGGCTGCTCCACCCAGCACGCCCGCAGGGGGCCTGAGGTGGCCAGACTCCCTCTCTGTGCTCCTGGCAGTGGGCAGGGGTCCCTCTGGGCCCCAGCTCTCCTGACTGGGGAGTTGGCCTGGCGCCCGTGACCCCTCCCCCCTGGCGAGGCGGGAGCAGCCCCCTTCCCCCCAGGCGCAGGCCTCTCGCCTGCCTCATTAATAAAGCGGATAAAATCTAAACACTGGAAAATGTGAGCGTCACCCCGGGCAAGCGGGGGCGGCTGCAGGGGGTTCGGCTGCCCCCACAGGGGCTGCGAGGTTGGGGGCCTAGCCCTGCAGGGTAGGGGGCAGCGCCCCCTTGCCCTGCCAGAGCCTTGGTGGATGTCAGGTGGGTGGCGGTGGGCAGTGCTGTGGATGGACCAGCTCCAGGCAGGCGCAGCCTGGCCAGGAGATCCGCCCACTATTTACACAGGGGCTTAAAGCCCAGGCCAGGCCGAGAGTCATACCCGCCTCGAGAGGGGAGGGGGGGCCCGAGGGGGCAGGGGAGGCAGAAGGCTGGGTCCAAGGGATCTTGCTTTAGGATGTGGAGAGCAACATCTGTGACACACACGCCCCAAGCCACAGAGACAGCCACACCTGTGGACACACAGCGCAGCCGCTCCTCTTGCTCTGAGAAGCAGAGTCATACCCTGAGGAGCGCGCACACAGTGTCACGCCCGAAGACACACAATCCTATCCCTTAACACTCTGAGACCAGCCACCATCACACCCTGTCCCCAGCGCGGTGGCAGCCACGTTCCTCCAAGCCTGGCGTCAGCCACCGTCACACCTCTGAACTGAGACAGTCACCTCCAACACCCGACATGCCCACAGTTCCCAATTCTTAACACTGCCGCTTCTCTCAACACCCGGCGATGCAGCCCCGAGAAAGCCACCGTCACACCCTCGGCGCTGGGAAAGACAGCCTCACCTGGCACCCCGAGACAATCCTTGCCGCTGGGACAGCCCCCAGCCACACTCCATATCACCAGGAGACACCCCCCAATCGTCCAAGACAGGCCCCACAGGTACCCTGCATCTACCTGAGAAACAGGAGTGGCACCCTCCTGACACCCCGAGATCTAGCTGGTCACGTCACTCCCCTAGACACAGGAACACCCAGAGACACGCTCACGGCCCTGGGCACCGAGACCCTCACACAGCTACACCCCACACAGGGCACTGCCAGTGGCACCCACAGACACCTTGGACCACAAAGACGGCCATCACATCCCGTTCCCTCGACACACACAGGTTACAGCCCTCCACACGGCCACCAACCCCCAACACACTGACACAGTCCTACCCACTCGGCACCGCCACACCCCTGTGCAACCCCGCTGTCCATGAGCACAGACACAGCGCCCACAGGTGCCCAGGGTGCCAGCGGGGCCCTGACAGCGGCTGCCCTGCCCCGCCCCGCGAACACCCCGAAGGCCTCTCGCACCCCCTGCCTAGCTGTCCTCCCCCTCCCCGGGGCCCATCGCCCGCCCGGGGGAGATGGGGAGCAGGCCGGGCTCCGTCTCCGCTCTCGGCTCACCCCGAACATTCCTGTAGGGACCTCTGGCCTGGCTTCCCTCGCTCCAATCCTCGCTCTTCCCTCCAGGTCTGGCCAGGGTCCTGCGCCCCTCCCCGATTCCCCCTCAATCTTCAAGGATGAAGTGCGTTGTCAAAACAAGCATGCTGGGTTTATATCCAGCCACGGCCGCCCACAGACCCCGCACGTCCACAGGCAGCTGGGGCGGGGGCCGCCTGGAGATGCTCCCCCAGCCTCGGGGTGGGGCTCCTCCCCGGCAGCACTCACCCCGCAGGGCAGGGCGGAGGCCCCCCGTCTGTCTTTCTCCCTGCCTCCCAGCCCTGGGTTGTCCTCGTGCCCACTGTTCACACCAGGCTGGGGTGGAGGAGGCCTTGCTCTAGAAGCAACACTCGGGCCCTCAGGACGCCAACAAGCTCCGGCCTTGCCTGGAAGACGGGTGGCCCGCGGCCAGGAGCCGCATCAGGCGGAACGGGTGGGAGGGGGCAGGCGGCCGGGCCGGCTCCTAATTCAATTTGGAGCCAGGGAGGATGGATTTCAGCTGCTACAGTCCTTCCCAGCGCCGGCCCACCCCCTCTCCCACACCCCAAAGCCACCACACAGGTCCAAGAGCAGAGAGATTCTTTATGTTCCAGACAAGAAATTCAGATACAAAAGCCCACCGCCATCGTCCCTCCCGCCCCGTCCCGCCGGGCCGGGCTGAGGGAGCCAAGGTGCGGGGAGGTCGGGCTGTTCACAGCGGACTCGTGTTCCAAACGTGGAGCTAACAGACTCCACGGCGGGGGGCTCCTCTCGGCGGGGAGGGTATTATTGCATTTGTTGAGGGGGACACCCCCCTTCTGCATTCCCTGCATCAGGAAACTAGGGAGGTCACAACCCCCAAACAGAACCCGAGGCCCCAGGGAGACAGAGGGACCAGTTTGGCAGCCGATGCGGAAAGTGTTGGGGGCGGGGGCGGCCGCCCAATCTGGCCGGTCCCTCCCCGAGCCTGACCCAGCTGAGGTAGGTGGGGAACAGAGCAGGGGGGCTGGGGACCGGGGAGGGGGTGGTACCGATTGGAGTGGGGCAGGGGCCCGGCCCCACCTCCACTCCGCACCGTCCTCCGGCTGCTGAGCCAGGCCCAAGACAGCTGCTGTGGTGTCCCCCTGGGGGCTCCCACCAGGCCGGGCCCAGGTCATCGTGAGGTCCGTGGGAGGCCTAGTAGCGGCCGACCTTGGCATCCCCAATGGCCCCCCAGACGTCAAAGACGAACTCGTCAGGAAAGGCGAAGTCCCCAAGCCGTTCGTCCAGGGCCTCAGCCAGCTCGTCCGGGTTCCTTTTGTCCTTTCCAAGCTCTACCATTGTAGCCGCTGGCGAGAAGCAGAGTGGAGGCACAAATAGCAGGGGTGCTCAGCGCAGACTCAGCCCTACAGGACCTAGAAACCCCTCCCCCAGACCCCCACCTATCCTCAAACCCCAGCACCCCCTACTCACCCAACTCCGTGTCTCTGATGCCCATGTAACTCTCCAGCAGATCATCTACCTTCTCTATCGCCTTCTCCTCAAAGGCTGAAGGCTGAAGGAGGAGACAGCGACATCACGCTAATGTGAACATAACTGTGATTCTGCTCACTCAGCGCCAGGGGCAACTCTGACCATGTTACTTATGTTAACCTGTGCTTCATCCTCACAACAACTCTGAAGGTGTCAGTATTATTATCCCCGTTTTACAGACGAGGAAACTGAGGCCCGCTTGCCCAAGAGAGGTTCCAGAGCTGGGAGGGGGCAGAGGCAGATCTGAGTCCAGCGCCCAGAGCCCCTCAGCTAACGGGTGACACTGCCACCTCTGAAGGCGCAGGGAGTGGGGCTGTGGCCTGGCGGGAACACTCACCAGATCCTCTACAGTGGCAGGGCCCCGGGACCGGAGCCGGAGGGTCCCTCGGCCAGTGCCCAGCTGGGGGCCGGCGCCAGGGCGGCCACCCCCGGAGCGGGCGCTGATCATGTCTGTGGGGGGCAGGTCAGGGAAGCACAGTTCCAGCACACTCTGGGCAGCAACCCAGGCATCCCAGCCTCAGACACCCCCCACCTTCTCCAAGCTTCTGCAAACTCCGGGGAAGCTGTGGGCTGAGGTGACCCCAGGAGGGCAGCAGTCCTGACTCGGGGTTGGCACAGGTGTGGGAGGGGCAGCCAGGGGCTGGGAATGGAAAAGGCTGGAGGGAAGGCTGGAGAGACCACTTCTGCTCCCAGCTCCTGAAGGATGGGTGTGGGGCCTGGGTCTCTGCTGTTCTCCCCATGGCCAAGGGGGTACAGCTGCTGGGCCGTGGACCGGCCCCACCTGGCTGGGGAAGTGTTTAAGTCCTCCACCCCCACCCAGGGGCCTCAGGCCCATTCCTGAGGGTTAGTGAAGCCAGAAGGAAAAGTCGGGGTGCTGGCACAGGGCAGCCAAGCCTGGCTTCTCAGGGCTGGGGGGGCGAGCCAGGGTTGGGGGCACTTGGCTGAGCTAATGTCTCCTGGAAGCTGGGTGTGGGGGCAACTTCCTCCTTGCCCCCGTCCTCCTCCCAGCTGGGCGGGCAGCCAGCACCGCCTCCGCAGGGCAGGGCGGGGCTGCCCCCCCTTTCCACTGCGGCCGGCTGGGCTTGGGCGCCACCTGCTGGTGGCCCCTGGCACTGCAGCCTGGACCCAAGTGAGCAGAGCGATCATGGCGGTCCAGGGGGCAGCCCCTCACCAAAGGCCTTGCGGGGCTCCGTGAGCTTCAGCGTGAAGGTGCGGCCCCGGGGCAGCTCCTTGAGGAGCCGGGCCACCTCGTAGTGCCGGCAGCCCAACAGGCTCTGCCCGTTGATGGCCTCGATCATGTCGCCCACGCTGATGAGCTGGATGTGGTCAATCACGCTGCCCTCCTTAATGCGCTGCGCGAGAGGAGCTGTCAGCCCCCGGGACTCCGCGCTTGGGTCCCCCCTCAGGACTCCGAGTGCCCCGTCCACCCCAGGCACCTTGATGAAGGCGTAGCCGGCCCCGTTGTCCGTGATGGTGAGCCCCAGCGCCTCCTCCGACTTGAACACCTCCACCTCCTTGCGCTGCCCCTTCACGTGGGCGAAGATGAAGTCCTCCAGCCCGATCTGGCCCCCCAGGAGCTTGTCCATGTCCACTTTGTGGGTGTTGAGGGTGCAGAACATCACCTGCAGCGGTGGGAGGCACTCAACCCTCACCTCCCTCCTTGAAGTTGGGGAGGTCTGGGGATCTCCACCCCCGGGGCCTGGGCAGGGCCCCCAGTAGGATGTCCGCTCTGCTAGTACTGGGATTTCTGTCTTAGCAACAACTGCCTGCTGTCTCTAGAGCACAGAGCTGGCACATGTGGGCGCTCGATAAATGCTGCGGGATAAATGAAGGGGTGCAGACATCCATCCGCCTGCTGAGACCCCTGCATCTACTTCCTGCTCAATCCCACAGCCGCCCTCCTCGCCTCCCTTCCTTCAGCCCCCAAAGTCCTCAGGGTCAGGCCTCTCGACGCATCATGGAGAAGTGAATTTTACATCTGATCTCCAGCCCCCACAATCCCCCGGGGTGCAGGCCTCCCAATTCCTCATGGGAACTCAGGCCCCAGCCCTGGCCGCCAGCCCCCACAATCCACTGGGGCGCAGGCCTCCCAATGCCCGATGGGAATTCTGCCCCCAGCCCTGGCCGCCAGCCCGCACAACCCACTGGGGCACAGGCCTCCCAAAGCCCGACAGGAGCTCAGCCCCCAGCTCCCACAATCCCGCGGGCGCAGTCCTCCCAATGCCTGCCCACAATCCACTGGCGCGCAGGCCTGGCAATGCCCGATGGGACCTCAGCCGCCAGCCCTGGCCGCCAGCCCCCACAATCCACTGGGGCGCAGGCCTCACAATGCCCGATGGGAGCTCAGCCCCAGCGTGGCCGCCAGCCCCCACAATCCACTGCGGCGCAGGCCTCGCGATGCCCGATGGGAGCTCAGCCCCAGCCGGGCCGCCAGCACCCACCATCCCGCGGGCGCAGGCTCGGCACCTGCAGCGCCCCGAGCCGCAGCCCCCCACCAGCACCCCGGCGCGCGGCTCCCGCGGTACCTCGGCGGCCGGCAGCCGGAAGGCCTCGGCGATCTTGCCGTAGAGCTCCTTGACGTTGCTGAAGCCCTCGATGCGGCCGGTGGGACTGCCGTGGGCCAGCTGCGTGTGGAACACGAGGCGGGGCCGCAGGGCCGCGGGCGGGGGCGGCAAGCCCATGTGGGGCCCCCGTGCCCCGCCTCCGCCCAGGGGCCCCGGCTCCCCCACGCCCAGGCCGCCACGGCCGGGCTCGGCTTCCTCATTCTCCACCAGAGGCGGCGCCTTTTTCCGCCGCCCCAGTCCCAGCGGCATGAGCGGCGAGCGGAGGATGCGCCCGAGATCTGCAGGGCGGGAGGGGGGTCAGGCCGGCGCTCCCGCCGCAGCACCCTGCAGGCCCGCGGAGCGCTCCGCGCAGAGCGGCTCGTGCAGACCCGGCCACACTCACACAGCGGTACAGGAGGTGCAGCGCCCGCTCCGTGCCCTCCCGTAGTGCGCACACCCCGTGGCGATGTGGGGCCGCGTGGTGCCATGATTATGCCCATTTCACAGATGAGAACATGGAGGCCGGGGGCGCTGACGTTTGTCTTTTTCTGTCGGTCATAGTCAGTAGTGCTATGCATAAAAAATTTCTGACTGTGCCCCTTCAAAGCATGTGGGCAGATGGACTCAGTGACCTTGTGACTGACAGGCGTCTGACCAGTTCTGGCCAGTGAGTTGTGAGAAGAGGGGACACGTGACATTTCTAGGCTGAAGTACTTAATTACTGGAGAGAGAGCCTCCAGAGGGCTATTTCTCCCTGGCAGGTGGACCAGCTACGTTTGATATGCTGGCGGCTCCAGCAGGCCAGGCCCTGAGTGACTGCAATGAATGCAACCTCCGCTGAGCTGCAGCAGACACGGAGCAGGAACAAAAAAGAAACCTGCATTGAGTTCAACCACTAAAGCCTTTTGGGGTTGTTACTGCAGCAAAAGCTGTCCTGTCTGATACACTGCAGTCTTTCCTCTCCCCCACTCTCTCTCAGTCTCTTTCTCTCCTTCTCCCTCTCTCCCTTCAAACAAATGTGTTTTGGGTGCTTACTATATTCCATGCACCATTTTTGGTACTGCCTTCAATAAGTTAAGCCAGGTCCCTGACTGGGGCCACCATGTGCAGTTACGGAGGTTGTTCACTATGCAAAAGCACCACCCCCTGGTGTGGTGATGTGTCTGCTTGAAGAAAGGGCTGCCTTTTTCTAAGTCACTTCTAGGTGCTATCGAGGCTAGCTGGGTCTCTGTGCATGCTGTCCAGAAGCATGCAGTCCACAGCGGAAGACGCACAGTGAGCAAGCAAACGTGTAAATGTCTAATGTAATTTCTAATAATGTGATGGAGACAATAAAACAAGACGAGTTCTACAGATGCGGTCAGGGAGGGCCTCTCTGAGCAGGTGAAGCCGAACCTGAGACCTGCACGTCAGGAAGACGTATCCATATGAGGATGTGAGGCAAGAACGTTCCAGGCAGAGGGAGCAGCCAGCACAAAGGCCTTGAGGTGGGGATGTGCTTGGCATGTTGGAGGAACAGCAAGGAGGCCTATGCGGTTGGAACAGAGTGAGTCAGGGGGGCAGCAGCAGGAGGCGGGGCAGGGAGGGGCGGGGCAGAGCGAGCAGGGCCTTGTGGGAGGAGGAAGGACTTGGCTTCTGCTCTGAGTGAGGTGGAAGCCATGGAGGTTCTGAGCAGACTCACAGATGAGCGAGAGAGCAGGGCGCCAGAGGGGAGTGAGCAAGGGAGAGCGTCAGGAGGGAAGGGAACAGCAGCGACGGGCCTTCTCAACTGGAAAGAGTTCAGATGTCACTTTTAAGTCACAGGTCCAAAGTCACAGAGACAGGCTGCACCCTCAAGTATGTCTGACTCCTAAGTCCAAGGCCATAACCACAAAGCCGTCCCCTAAGCGCCTGGGCCTCAGGTGCCTGGTCTGCAAATGGGGACATTCCACCCACCCAGCTAGGCTGTGAGGAGGATCAAACTAGGCCAAATTCTATTTTTCTGTGTCTAGGGGACTTCCTGCTCCTTCCCTTCAGATCACCTCTTCCAAGGGGCCATCCTGGATTCAGTCCAGCCCAGTGGGCTGCATCCATCCTCATGCCTCCATTCATTCATTCATTCATTCATCCACCTGCTCTCCAACATCTCCGGTAACATCACCTGGTCCGGCCCCACGGTCACTCACCTAGACTAGTGCAGGCGCCTCCTCTGGGTCTCCCAGCTCCTGCCCTTGCCCCTACCGTCTCTTGTCAACACAGCAGCCAGAGGGAGCCTGTAAAACATAAGTCACGTCACATCTGTACTGTGCCCTCACTCCTCCCAAGGCTCCTACCTCACTCGGAGTAAAAGTCAATGTCCTCCCCTCAGCCCACAGGCCCCAGAAGATCTGGGCCCATCTCCTGCCTGCCCTCGTCTCCTCCCACTCTCCCCATCGCTCGCTCCCTCCAGCCACATGGGCCTCGTCCCCGTTCCTCCAACACACTAGGTCAAGTCCAGCCTCAGGGCCTTTGCACTGGCTGTGCCCCCCGGTATCCACACAACTCCGTCTCTTACCTCTTTCAGGTGGAATATATATTTCATTCATTTATCTCATTCATTGTCTGTTTTCCGAAAGGGCAGGGAACCTTGTCTGTCTTATTCATCCCTATATTTTCGGTGCAGAGAGCAGTGCCTGGCACACAGCGGGTGCTCGATAAATATTTCTTGAATGAATGAATGGATGAATGACTGATCCTAATGTTCACCAGCCCACCAGTCCCTGTGCCTGGCTCTGGGGAGTTAAGGGGCACAGGCTGTAGTCACTGCCCTCAAGAGGGTCCTGTCTCCCCAGCAACAGCATAAGCCCTACCTCTGGGGTCCCCCATCCTTTGCCTCCCAGCATCATTCCGTGCACAGGGAAGGTGCCTCCTGTAGCCAGGAAGACAGGGAGCGTCTCTGTCCTCTTTCATTGTGGTTTTGTTTTTCATTCCCCTCATAATCAATGATGCTGAACAACTTTTAACACATTTATTAACCGTTTGGATTTGCCCTTTTGTGAACTGCCTGTTTAAGTCTTTGCCCATTTTTAAAAAGTGCATGGTCTGTCTGTTTTTAATTGCACTGCCCATCTTTTTTTCTTATTGATTTGTGGGAACTCTTTACATGTACTGGATACTAGTGTTTCATTGGTTACCTCATCTCTCTATCCATAACACCCAACACTGGATCTAGCACACAGTAGGCACACACCGAATATTTGACAACATTTGAATTCTGAATGAATAAACCAGTACTGCTCCCTCAAGTTATTTCATTACATTCAATGATGCTAAAAAAAAACCCTCACCATCACCTCCTCTGGTTCCCCTCCCCCCATCCCCCATATATCTTAGCAAGATGCTAAGAACATGAGTCTGGAACCTGACTTCTCCACTTACTAGCTGTGTGACCTTGGGCAAGTGTCTTAACCTCTCTGAGCTCCAAGGAAATCATGCATGGGCCTGGAACAGTTCCTGGCACACAATAAGGGTTCATAAATATTGGTGATTATTACTACTATTTCCATCTGTACCATCTTTCAATCAGCTGCCAAAATTCAAACTTCCTCTTTTTCCCAGGGCCCACACATTCTGATCACCAAGTCCCAACCTCCATATTCTGCATCTACTTGCTGCCTGCTTCAGGCTGGCTTCTGTGTCCCCACTTGTGAGGGGGCATAACGGTGGTAAGAAAAGTGGATGATTAATGAATTTGCCCTCCAGGCCACAAGAGGCAGGGTGGCCTGGGTTGAGACCCCACCCCACTTACCAGCTGCGTGGCTGTGGGCAAGTCACTTCACTTGATGGGGCCTCAGTTTCCTCATCTGAAAAATGGGCAGAATTCCTGTCTCTCAGGGTGCATATGGGAATCCAAAAAGATTATGCATTCAACTGGATTAGCTCTTTGCTTGATATTCAGTTTAAGGAAGCTGTTATCATTATTGTCATTATTATTATTGCCTCCTCTCCTGCCCTGCCCAGGAACATCCCAGTCCTCTCTGCCTGAGAAGCCCTACTCCAGGCCACCTCCTCCAGGCAGCCTCCCTGGCTTGCCCCAGCCTGTTGGAACCGCCCCTGTGGTCCCGATGGCTTAGGCCCATGAACTTAATTACACGTTGCCCGGGCAGGACTCTTGTCTTCCAGTCTTAGGCTGTTATTTAACTTCATGTCTCTATTTTAAAACATAAACCAGATCGCGTCCCTCCCCAGCCTCAAATCTTACAATGGTTTCCCACCTGACGGAGGAAAAGCTCTGGACTCCTTGTGACCCAGAGACTTCGGCTGCATCTCCCACCCCAGGCACGCTACTCCAAGCTGGGTCCGGCCACAGAGCCTGCGCCCCAGCTGTGCCCCTGCCTGACCTGTGCAGGGCTGGCTTCTTTTTGTCATTCAGACCTCGGCCCCAAAGTCACCTCCTCTGAGAGCCCCCTTGCCCACACATTCTCCCAAGGCCCCCTCATATTTTATTCAGAGCGCTCAGCACTGTCTGCGGGTACCTTTCTTATTTACTGGTTAACTGCTGTCACCTGTCCCCCCCTTCCACTACAATGGCAGCTTCCAGAGAGCAGGGATTTTTGTCCCGTTCACTGCTGTATCCTATGTGCCAAGAACAGTGCCTGGCCCATTGTAGGTGCTTAATCAACATTGTAGAAAGAATGAACGTCCTATGTCCTCATTCTGACTCCTCCCCAAACTCCTCTATCCTCAGCACACAGCAGCCTGGAGCTGCTAACCACCACGCCCTCCCATGCTCCCAGCCTCCTCTCAACCCCGCAAGCAGGGATGGAGAAAGGAGCTGCAGGCCGGCGGAGCTGGTCGCTGGAATTCCAGCACCCCCACCCTCTCTTCCCCGGAGGGGCTGGACACTTAGTAACCCCACAGCCACAGTGAGGGCAGCAGGAGGAGGGGAGGGGGTTCCTGGGAGGTCACAGAAGCCGGAGGAGGGGGACACCATGCCCAGGCCCCCCTTTCCAGTTGGGTACTGCTTTGGAGGGGAGGGCGGGAGGCCTCTGATTCACTCTTGAAAAACCGGCTCCTGGGTGTTTCCAGGGAGAATGCCTACTGTCTGGCCTTGGCCCAGGCTTCCCAGGGGCCCAAGAGGCACAGGACCCCAGCGTCCTGGCCCCCTGCCTATCTCCCCTGAAGCTGTCACTCTCTTCTCAGGACCTTCTCGGCCTTGCCTCTTCGGCTCAGGGGAGAAGGGACATGGGAGCAGCTTCCTGTTTGAGCGGCTGGTATCTGGTCACCTCTGGGGGAGGGAATCAAAGACCAGAAGGTGTGGCCCAGATGGTGTGTGTGGTTGTGTGGGGGGAGCTGGCCAGGAACACCTGAGCCAGGGAGCCACGGGGCATCCGCTCTAGTGGTTGAGACTCCAGTTCTGGACTCTGAGGCACGGGTTCGAGTCCCAGAGCTGCCACTTACTAGCTGTGTGCCCTTGCGCCAGCCACGCCAGCTCTCTGGGTCTGCTGCCTCACCTCTGGAAGAAGTAACAGCACCTTCCACGAGGTGTTTAGATTCAGCGGCAGGCACGGTAAATACGTGACACGGAAATGTTGAATAAATGCTAGCCGGGCGGCTGTTTCGCTATTATTATCGGGACCTCAGTCCTGCCCAGGCCCCCTCAGGCCCTGGGGCACTGGGACGCGGCCAGCTCCGGGGAGGCACCCGGGAGGGCTCCGAAACGCCGACGCCGCGCCTGTCCCCGCCGGGACGGGGACTGTCCAGAGGGACGCGGGCGGCAGGGGTGCGGCCGGAGACCGCATCCCGGCGGCGGGGGGCGTTTGCCCGCTGCCCCCAGCGGGAACGGAGGCGCCCCGCCGGAGGAGGCCTCGGGCATCCCCGCGCCCGGCCTCGACCTCC